CCCACAGCCCTGCTGCTGCGCCTCAGACCGGCGCGCGCTCGCGGGGTAAGGCGGCCGCGGCTCCGGACACAGCCCCGGGCACTCGCTGGTAGTAGCCACCCCTCGGTCCAGACCTCCGCCGCCGTCACCCCCGGCGCCCCAACAGAACCCCTCACCCCTCCTGCCCCCCGGCACCTTCGCCCCTCCTCACCCCTGCTCACCCCTCCTCACCCCTCTGTCTCCAGCTCGGTTCCTATTTCCACCCTCTTCATGTTCGCCTCTTTAACTCCCTACCCTGGGGTGTTCCAAATAAAACTTGGAGACGTGAACCCCGCTTTTCTTTCCCGAACTGTCCTGCAGCCCTTAAAAAAATAAAAAGTCTTAGTATTCGGGCTGATCACTGTAACTGGCTCTCTTGCCCTTTGGGGAACCGTTAACAAGCCTGGTTTGCGCCCTGTGTTTTGTGATAAAAGAAATACTGATCCAGATTTAGGCGAAGTTTTCCTATTGGTTGCAAGGCTGTGTTGGAGGATCCCCAGACCCGTCAGGCGCTTATTGATTCCGAATTTTTTTTTTTTAACCATCTTGGAATAGATTCAGAGACTATATATTTAAAATTTTGAGAAAGTGCTTCACTTATTTCCTCACTTAGCTTTTTAAATGCGTATTATGAACTGAAAATAGTGGCTATGTCTTAAAATAATCTTTTGAACTCTGCAAGAATCGCAAAAAGTCACCAATACGGTATTGCTGTTTTGTTTTGTTTTTAAAAAATGCTTAGCGTGTAGAAGGTATGGTTTCCGTTTCTTTAATCACATGCACAATTCATTTTAGTAAATTCCTTAAGTTTTGGTGGTGCCTGAATGTAAAGATAGCTTCACCAATATTTGTATCATTATCTTATTCTGATAACCCCGTCAAGAGGCCTATTTTGAACAGCCTCTCTGTCTACTTGTTTTCTTCCAGTTTGGCATTTTTATTTTATGTTACCTAAAGCAGGTGCCCTGAAAATATCAGAATGGTCTAGTAACTAACATGAATGTATACTTCGAAATGCTTGAGTGTTATTATTTAGTTTTAGAATGGGTTTTACTTTCAAAATAAGATATTCTTCTACCTCCAGCATCTTGTCATCACCAAAGTACTTAAGTAGAATAAGCAAAGTCAAATTAACTTTTAAACAAAACAACATAAAGAGGCCAGTATTTTGTAACAAAAGTCTGAGACTATTTTATTACAACTGACAGTACTAAAGGATGGGAAACAGAAAGTTGGAATGTCAGCATACCGCTGGGAGTTTTTATTAGTCACTTCCTTTTACTACATTTTTGTGTTAATTACTAGACTAATAGAAATATCCTATTTTATATTACTAGCTTCTCCAGAGCTGTTTTCATGGATTACATCTGCCTAATTAGACCTCAAGTGCTTAAGGGGATTGTATTTTTAAAATATTTTTCTTATGCTACAACTGGGCTACCTTATCTTCAGTTGAGCAGACCACAGTGGTTTCTGCATTAATTTACTTACTATAATAGATGGGAAAATGTTGCTGTCATATTTTCTATTGGTTTCTATTAGTTCATACCCTCTTTTAAAATGATTTTATACTCTTTTAATGTTTTTTATTGTTTCTATACATAAGTTCAGAAGAATTCTACTCTCATTCTGGTGGCATAGCAGTATTAAACAAACCTAACATATTAAGTAGAGATTTTTTTAGCCTTTTACTATTAAAATATAGGATTATAATCTCTGCAGTTATTGCTTATTTGAGATGGTGAACTTCTTTCTGTTCACTCAGCAAATAATTTAGTATCAATCCAGATGCTGTGTGGGGCCACTGACCTCTAAAAGGAGAGAGATTATGAACAGAATATAATGCTGCGTGGAAGGTACTAAGTGCCATGAGTGAACAAGTAGAAATTCAGCTCCTGGGGATACGGCACCCCAGGCCTGACAGGGAGAATTCAGGTCCACACCACTGGGTGGGAACCATTTCCAGCGAGTGTTGTGAATCAAGGAAAGCAGAGAGTAGGTGGCCCAGTGTGTCTGGAGTATTCAGCAGGTGAAAGGAGTAGTGGCTGACTAAGGAGGCAAAGACAGTTTAAAGGCATGGTGTTTATTGTAAAGAGAAATATTAAAGTGAAATGGTAGGAAGGCAGAACTGAATAATACTCAAGGACCTAAAAATGTAAAATCTCATTCCTTTACAGAGATAAAATTTTAAGAGTAACCAAAAACCATCATTGCTGTTTCACCATTAGCATTTCAGGAAATGATGAACAATGAGGATGTGATATTTTTTAAAATCTGTTATCTCCCAGAATATACCTGCAATATCTTGGGGACAAAAAGCACTATAGGATGATTGAGCTTATTAGTATGAGATAGCACATGAAAAGTGAACACTGACTGGTACATAGAACTTTTTGGATCGGATGGCATAAAGAAAACTTTCAGATCTGTGATGTGGAAGCATCAATTCTGTAGCTTTGCTTTGGTTTTATAGCTGACATCATAGTAGTTACTCTGTGTTGTCTGCTGGTGGCCAGACACTGCTGGCACATGCTCCTGTGGTCCTTATTTGGTAGGTGGGCACATTTGAGTCACACAGAGCTGCCTTGTGACTGGCCCAAATAGAGTTGGAACCCCGAGCAGTCTGCCTTGGTGGCTCATGCCCTTAACCACTGACAGTTCTGCCTTCCTACCATTTCACTTTCAGTTGCTCTCAAAAAAGTATGCCGTTTTGTGTTCCTATGTTGACAGGCATTGTTTGAAAATTCAGAGATGTGGCCTCCCTGGTGGCACAAGGGGTTAAGTGTCAGCACTATGAAGCAATCCACAGCAACTACAGCACTAGTTTGATCCCCAGCCAGGGAGGTAACCCACATGGTGCAGCAGACCTCTCCTGTCTCACCTGCTGCTCTCCTCAACAGTGTATTTCAGTGGATCCACCTGTTCTGCACCCCCTTCTGTCTCTCGTGAATCTCCTCACACCCTGCACCTCTGGCCTGCACCCCAGCTCTTGTATGCATAAATAAATAAATCTTTAAAGAAAATGAAAATTCAGAGATGCATGAGTATGGAGTTAGCAAGTATGTCGTCTTCTCTCTACAAAATATGTCAGGAACTGGGCAACACAGATATCCTGTCTGTCCAGACAGGTTGGAGGCAAAGGCCATGATTGACCACAGATTGCTTAGGTCCACAAGAAGACAAACCCAAAGACAGGGTCAGTCTAGTAAACGAAAGTGTTAACAGCAGTGTCGTCCAAATAAAAAAAAAAAAAAAAAGAACTTATTTTTGGCAAAAACCTCAAAATATTTTTTAACGAATAGTGTTTCTTACTGATGTTTACGACTTTTCTGATTATATAAATATAATGTGCTTATTGTACAGAACTTAGAAAATACGAGAAGTATAAAGAATTTTAAAAACAGCAGTGATCTTATTTCCCTGAGACAACTAATTTAGCATTAGGATGAACTGCTCTCTTTAATTTTCTGTTCATTGACAGAGGATGATTGTTTTACTCTCTTAAACTCAAAATAGAGACAGACTTCCCATAAAGCAGAGAATACATGGTTTTAAGTCACAGCACTGATGCTTTCACCTGCTGTGAGTGAGTCTAAAGCAAAGCCCTAAACTGCTGTCTTAACATGCAAGGTCGTCCTGCTTGTTTGGAACATTTCTTCTGTCCCCCCTCACTTTTTGCATACCCCACGCCTCTGGGGTCAGCTTCAGCTTCCATGTCACCCCACTGCAGTTTTCGATTGACAGCTGTGCCAAGCTTTGTTTATGCATTTAATACTTACCACTGTCCTAGGAAGAAGTATTTCACTACCCTTTTTCTGATGAGGAAACTGAACCACAGTGTGGTGAAATAACCTGGGGCCTGTCAGAAATAATTCGCTGCAGAGGGAGGTTTCCAATAGAGGCAAAGTCCCTGACTTAACCAAATAGTAAGGTCTCTAAAACCTAATACACGTTAATACATATACCTGTTGTTATGCATTTAAACAATATAATGGGATTATCTATTGCTTGGGAGTTTGGTTCTAGAAAGATCTTTTTGTCTAATTGGAATTAGAGTATTAACAGAGCTTTGTATCCCACCTTCTCATCCCCATTTAGACACCCAGGATTTTAAAAACATTTCAAACATTTCCTACCTAGGAACATGTCACTTCACTTAATCATTCTCCAATTTCGGTTTGACGTTTGGTTTTTCCCCAGTATTTAATATAATGCTGTCGTTGAACTCCCAGTAAAAAAGTGTCGGTTTTTTTTTTTTTTCTTCCTTGTATCTGTATTCTTAGGATCCATTCCTAGATTTTGATCAAGGAGAATAAGCTCTAGGGTTTTTGATGGCCAAAAATCCATCCAGAAAAGTTGTACTGATATGCACACCCATTAGCCAAGATTGAGAGCTGATTTTACCCCATTTGAATGCTCTAAGTATGAACATTTAAAAAGGTTGACAGTTTGTCAGATCAGCATCAATTAATATCTAATTTTAATGCTGACTCTTTTCTACTTATATTTTGAAGTCATACAACCTGATTAAGAAAAAATAAACTCCCTGCAATCTTTGGTTCCCATAGTTATACCTAAAGAACTTTTCTTGTGTGTTTATTTTTTTAAAGATTTATTTATATACACAAGAACTGGAGTACAGGCCAGAGGTGTGGAGGGTGAGAGGATTCACCAGAGACAGAGTGGGGAACAGAACAGGTGGATTGACCAAAGTACACTGCTAAGGGGAGCCGCAGCCAGCCAGGAGAGGTCTGCGCGCCATGTGGGTTGCTCCCTGGCCAGCCAGGGATCAAACTCATGCTGCAGTGGCTGCGGATAGCCTTATAGGTTGTGTCTTAACCCCTTGTGCCACCAGGGAGGCCCCTTCTTGTGTATTTAGATGAAACATAATCACAAGCATTCACTAATCCCCTCTCCCCCTACCATCCCCCAATCCCCCCCAAACCCCCCCTCCCCAGCCCCGGGGTAAAATTATTGGCTTATGCCCCTGTTGTTTTCAAAGTACCATATATTCTTATGTATCACTTGCAAATGTGACGGAAAACCTCCCTTCTCTAGTTCTCTCCTGCTTTTGTGTGTGTCTGCTCTTGGTCTGTAAAACAGAGAAAAGACTACCTGGAGCACCAAATCGCATTAAGGGCTGATGTGGGTAACAGCACTCTGGACCCTCCCTGGACTTACCATAGTCTTGAGACAGACCCTCAGGGCAAGGACTCTGGTCTCCTACAGGTGCCAACCAATAAATACTCGTGTAGATGTTTTTATTGTGAAAGGCCATACATTAAATGAATCTGCAGACTGTAGGGGGAGGGTAGGATGAACAAAAGCAGACAGGGGGTTAAGAGATGGTCACCATCATCAGTGCCAAAGCAGATGGCCCAAACCACACCCAAGCATCGTGCTCTTTACTCAGGGCATTTATATAATGTGATCTCTGGATCACGCCACACACATTGGCCTTATAATGGCCCCTATTTAACTCACTTAGCAGGAGAAGACGACTATGAAAATGAGTTTTCAAAGAGTTACTCCTGAAAGTCCTTCAAGAGCAAAACATTTTTGCTGTGTTAAATGGAAGAATCTGTATTCCTGCATTACATGTTTTTTCTACCTTAAATAATATATGTTGCTTCTAATTTCACTTATTGTGAAATACAATAAGCGCTGACATTTCGGGCCAGTGCTCAATGCCAGGCATGATGTCCAGTGCCTTACTGACATGATCTAATTTCGTTTTTCCTCAATGGTATAAGGTTTATACTGTTGTTTACCTGTCCCCCAGGGGTTAAGACTGATGTCTGGACATGTTTAGTGACTTGGTCAAGGTTATTGAGATTTCTGATATAGCCTCAACTAAATAAGAATACTTGTTTGTTTGGTTTTTGGTGGGGGCAGCAGTATTTAATGGTTTATATCAACACTTTCTGATCTTTTCTCTCTGATGATCTATTCCTTGCCAACATTGTCACTCCCTTCTAATTTGCAGCAGGTATCTACTCTGGACTGTGAAGCTGAATAACAGCAACTAATACTATATCTAAAATGCAAGTTTTTAGGCATCAGTTGAAGGCCTGCAGAGTGCTCAGACAGTCTAGGTTAGAGAACAGCAAGGTTGTACTGTAAAGAGAGCAGGCAGGCCTCTGAAATCAGCTCAACCTGAGTTTGAGTCCTAGCTCTATCCTGTACTAGACGTGACCCCCAAAACGCTCCATTTCTCTTTGATTTCTCATCCATCAACCCTTTGCACTTTGAGAGTTGTTTTCACTGATTCAAGATAATGAGTGTAAACCCGCCTGGTAGCTAGAAAGCACTTGGGATTCACGTAAAAGGATTGAGCAATATCCATTATTTGATTGGACAGAGGTTTTATATTTGTTTTGTTTTTCTGTCTACTTATTGCCTGGTTCTCAATTGCATTTTGAATAGTTGGGATTGCCAGCTAACAAAATTACTTTAAAATCAAGTTTGCTGTCACTGTTCTTAATGTCATTTGATATTTCAGATTTTTCAAAGGACTTTCAAGTCTATTACTTCACGTCTTTTAGGGTGATGCTAAAATTAGTTTTTGTTCTTTGTTCTTAGTCATCTGTACTCATTTCCTATTCAAAATTATGTGGGCTTAATTTTATCCTTATTCTGTGACTTAGTCTGTTTCAAATCTTGGCTTTTACTTTATAATTTATTTTTATTATTTTGTACACTTGCAGGGAACAGGTTTCCTATATAATTGAGGCTGCCTCCTCATGGTGACTTAGACATTTTTTTTTGTTTTTTCATCTTCAAGTCTTCTTTAGTTCCCTGCTGAGCTGGTGAGCTTATATACCAGAAACTTTCTGCAATTTTATGGTACTTTTAAATGATTAGTACAATCCTAAAAGGCTTAAAATGTGCAATAAATTTTCTATTTTATTAAAGTAGTTATGTCTGTTTTTGTTAAGGTAGAAAAATGCCTCACGTAACTTAAAAATGTTGGGCATAAAGTTTGTTAACATTAACAATACCATGCATCAGAAATACAGTTTTAAAAAGGGGAAATATTTCCTAACCTGCATTTTTATGCTGGCTACTGCAGTTAATATTTCAAAATAAGATTTTGAGTTGAATATTTTATCATATTACGTTTTCGTAAAAAATAGAAAATCATCTAATTCTCACCTACAGATAACTGAAAGTTTGGGTATCAGTGTTTTTATTTTGTAAGATCTTTTGGTCAATGCAAACACATCCTTAAAAATTGTATACATGGTGCTTAGTTTATTATCATTCATTCAATGTGTCATTAAATATCCTATGTCATTTAATATCCTTTTAAAAGATTATTTTTACTGACTGGATGTCATACAACATATTCAGGTACTGCCATTTAATCACGTTCTGGTGGAGTAAATTTTTCCTAGAAAAGCTGCACCATTGGTATTTTTAGTAGTGCACCAGGACCTATTCTCTGCACCCATCACTGTTTTTCTGCACAACCGATCTTCGTTAAGTTGATGAACTAGCTTGGACGTGATAGTGCCAAGAAGTTCATCCTACAGAGTCAGACTGTTTCTGCTCCGGTTCTGACACTGGCTATGTGATCTTGGGCAAATTTCTTACTTATACCCAGGCCTCAATTTCTTTGCTGTTAAGTGGTGACAATCGTACTTATTATTACGGTGATAGGTTGTAATGTCATGTTTGCAGACATGTACTGACAGAGCCTATTGTTGTGCTTAAGTCCTTGAGAGATGTTTAAGCACTTATTATGGGTATTATATTTTATGTGTGGTATACCTATGATTTATACCTGGCAGTGCTGTTGTAAAGGAAGCTTTTTTTTTTTTCTTTTAACCATCTAGTTACCCTACTCTGATCTCTTTTATGGACATTAGTTAAATTGTAGGAATTTGTTCCAACATCTTTCAGATGATTTTCAGCATTTGTAATAGTGGCACAATAATAACAGCAATTTTTTGGGCCTCCCCGGTGGCGCAGCGGTTGAGCGCTGGGTTGCGAAGCTGCCCGCAGCCTCTGCAGCGCCGGTTCGATCCCCGGCTGCTCCCCGGCCACCAGAGGAGGGTCCCACATGGCGCGCAGACCTCTCCTGCCACCCGCTGCTCCCCTCAGCAGTGTACTTCGGTCCTTCTGCCTGTTCTGCTCCCCGCTCTGGCTCTGGTGAATTCTCTCACCCTCCCGCGCTTCTGACTGTACCCAGTGCTTGTATGCATGTATGTATAAATCAATCAATCAATAAAAATAAATAAATAAAAATAAATAAAAAAAAAATAACAGCAATTTTTTTTTCTGATATTTTGGATGGACTTTTTTTCTTGTCTTATTACATTGGTTGATGAGCACAGAGAACAGTGCTGATGAATAGTAGGCCCTTGGGCTTCTTTCTGATGTAACGGGACAGCTCCTCTAGCATTTTGTCCTTTAACTTCCCATGCCTTTTGTTTTCTAACACAGGTGTCCCTGGCTTAAATACACAAATTCCTGAAAAATATCTGTAAACGTGGAATGTGAGAAACTCGAAAATAGATTTAAGTGTTATGGGGGAGTCCCTTATATTTTTTTCACTCTTTCAAAAATACTTTTTCAGTGTTTGAGCACATTCTCTACTTTTTTCATTAAACACACACAGTTTAAATTCATTAAGGCTGTAATTCTGCTTTCAACTCAATGATTCCATCCTGTATCAGTGACATAAACTATGAGATCTACTCTTATTTTCAGTCTTGTCTACTGTTACATCATATTTATAAAATTTTAGTAAAAGTAAATGAAACAATTTTGTCCCCTGGAAAACAACCTTTTATTCACATGAAGTCTTAGGGTCAGGATCTTAATGCCCTCCTTAACTCCACCTATTAGGCATGTTGCAAAGAATTATTTAAAAACCACTGTTCCCCCAAGAACAGATACAAATAATTTGCAACCCCCCCCCCTCAAAAAATGGCAATGCTTCTGAAACTGAACTTTTCAGAGGCTAGCAGAAAAACCATCTTGTGATCTCTTGATTTTTTTTTTTAATTAAACAGTTTTTATACTGAAGTCCTGATTTAACATGTTTTCTTTAAAAAAAAAAAATTCTTTAAAACCCCGGTGGTGTAGGGTTTAAGTCTCAGCACTATCACCACCTAGTCCCTGGTCAGCGGCCACTGAGCTGACCCACATACGGCACAACAGACCTCTCCTGTCTCACCTGTTGCTCCCCTTACCAGTGTATTTCTGTAGATATGCCTGTTCTACTCCCTACTCTGTCTCTGGTGAATCCTCTTGCCCCTGAATCTCTGGCCTACAGCCCAGTGCAACACAAAAATAAATAACAATCTTTTTTAAAGGATTAAATATGACAGCATCCATTACTCAAAAATAAGGTATTCACAAATCTAAGGGTGACTGTCTATCCTTAGGTTAAAATGTTGGGTCCTGACCTCTTCTCTTTTTCTAGTTTTCTGAAGTGCATCCCTCCAATACTCTGTTTTGAAAGGCCATCTATAGATCGATGACTACCAAGTTTGCATCTCTGTCCTGACTTCTTTTACCCAGCTGTTGGACAGCTCCACTTGGATGGCTATTGGTATCTGACACTAAAATGATCAGAATTTATAGCCCTCCACATCTGTTCCTTTCTAAGCCTTCCCTCCTTTAATAAGCATTACTATTTTTTTTCTCAGCTTCCCAAACCAAAAATCTAGAAGTTCTGGATTTCTCATGTCCCTTATCTTCCTCACCCACTTGGTCTTACAGAGGCGCCTGTTATCAACACATGTAATGAATTGGATTAACAAAGTTGTTCAGTATTAGAAAAAAAATCTTTCATCATAGAATAGAATCTCTCCTGTTAAAGTGTTTTATTATAATTTGGATACATTGCATAATTTACCATTCTTACATTTATACTTTCCTATACAGTGTAAGTAAGATGCATTTATTTGGTTATCTTTGTTGGTATCATTTTCTCAGCAGAATTATACTAGCCTCATCAGCTTGGTAGAATGTTGATTTGTTATATAAGTAAGATTATAAATATGTCTTGTTAGTTTTGGTGCCATCTTTCTATCGGCTTTTATGAATAGAATCATGCCAGCCTCATCAATCAGCTTTCCCTATTCTTCATTACCTTAGAATAATGTAAGTTACCCAGGGAGTTTCTGGATACTGTGAGTTTTTGCTCCAACACATCCCTAGAACCTATGAGGAAAGCCTACTCTGCAGGAATGGGCTAGAGAGTGTAAATCTTACACTTTTCTTCCATGGCTGGTCACACTTGCTACCTTTTCTTTAATCATCTTTGATTATACATTCTTACTTTA